CCCCCCACCCCACCCCCCGTCGGGGCTGGTCCTGGTTCCGGGAACCTGAATCTAATAAACAGCTTCGTGGTGGTGGCGCAGGCGGTAGTCCACCCTCTGGGGACCACACAGAGAGGACGCCTGCCCGAGGTATGTCCTTGCCAAGCCTGCCTGCTCCTGTACCCTGGGCCCCCAAGATGAAAAGCGGGGTGTCTGAGGGCAGGGAACTAGAGAGCAGGGCTCAGGGCTCACCCTCTCCTTCTAATTTCCTAGGAGACCCCGACCCCTCAGCCTCCCCAATGTGAGGAGCAGGCACAGTGGCACTCAGCTTTCATACTAACTGCTCGGGGCTTCACATCCTGGCTCTGTCGCTGAGCAGTTGTGCCGTCTTGGGCGGTGAGCCTCAGTTTTCTCTTCCGTACAATGGGCTCATCATAGGCTCTGTCTCCCCGCGTAGTTGTAAGGCTTAACTGCCTCGCATCTGAGAAATGCATCACAGCCCACACTGAACACACCCGAGATCATTGCTATGTCCTTGGCAGTCCTTCCATTCGTGGGGCATTTACTGGTTCTAGGAGCGAGGCTGAGTATTATGCCATAAAATATTCACTGTGGTTACCTCCGTTTTACAGACTGCAGAATTCATGCTGGGAGTGAGTACCTGTCTTGCCCAGGGTCGCATGGCTAGGATGGGGCAGGGGGTAGGATTTGAACCCAGACCTAGGTTGCTGCTCCAGGGCACACACGCTTCACCACTGCTCTACCCCCGTGGCTTGGTGGCTCCCTGCTTGGTCCCCACCCTCTCAGGCTCCCCTCGTCCACCTCCTCCCTGCACTCTAGCTCCTCATTCTCAGCAGGGCCCCTCACTCTTTTGAGCTGGGATCCTCAAGGCCATGGCAGATGCATGTCTGAGCCTCAGTACTGTCTGTCTGTCGCCACCATCTTCTCCTCCGGCCCTTTCTCCCCGGGCTAAAATCCTTCCCTCTCCCAGGCTCACCTCCTCCCAACCAGCCCAGAAGGCTTTCCAAATCACACTAGTAACTGCTAATGGTTTTTTGCTAATAATAATCATCCCTTCCCTTTCCTCTGCCTGTCGCCCATCTCCCTCCCAAGAAGACCTCTCCCCACCCCCCACCCCCAAACCACCTAGAGCTTGCAGTGGTTCTCAACCTTCTGGCCCTTTAAATACAGTTCCTCATGTTGTGACCCAACCATAACATTATTTTCGTTGCTACTTCATCACTGTCATGTTGCTACTGTGATGAATCATCATGTAAATATCTGATAGGCAGGATGGTCTTAGGCGACCCCTGTGAAAGGGTCGTTTGACCGCCCAAGGGGTCGCGACCCACAGGTTGAGAGCCGCTGGCTTAGAGGGACCTCGCCCCTTTTCCTGAGGTGGATCAGCATAGCAGGTTGATGAGATGGCTGGTTGTGTAGGGCCACGCGAGCCCTGCTTGAGTCAGTCATATGGGGAGAAAGTGCAACCCCATCTCCATGTCCTTTTATCCCTGATTCTGGAGGAGGCAGGCTCAGCCTGGCCGAACGTGCCTGGAGTCCTCTCTCTCCTTCCCTGATCCCTGTTTCAACAGAGGGAAGCGGGGTTTGGGGGGCACAGTCTCCAGGCCACGCCCCACGTCCATTTGAATAACAGCCTCTTCTTCTCATTGGTTTATGTGTGCACTTCCCGTCTCTGTATGGCAGGCGCTCTGGGTTTTTTATTTATGGGAGTGACATACAGGCTTTTTCGTGATTTATTACTTTGAACTTCATGATTTGAAAACTATGAAATATTTCAGACTTACGTGAAAATATAGACGATCATAGTGTGTGTGCCTATGAGAGTTAACACACACAGAGACGTGCACCGATCAGGAGTGCGTTTTTTTAACCTAGTAAGTGCACCCCTATAATCGGTGCCAAGGCCATGAAAACGTGACAGGCACCCCAGAAGCCCCCCTGGCGCCCCGTCCTGGCCAACACCTCCTTCTTCCTCCCAAAGGAAGCCACTGTCTTGACCTCGATGGGGTCAAGACGGGTTTTGCCCGAATAAACAATAGAAAGTATCGTTTCTGTGCACATGTGAAGTGTATACACACATGGGGTCACCCTGCCTGGGTCTCTCCAGCAAATGTCCTTGACAGCCTTCCATGTTGATCCTTGCACTTCCTTTTTAAAACAAATGTATTCCATTAAGAAGAGCCGGTGGGTTTGAAGGAAACGTCGAGTTGTACTAAGACCAGCAGAGTTTAGGAAACAGTGGGTCTCCGGCCACGCCCTCCCCGTCACAGGTGTGACCGCTGAGGCCTGAGAGAGTAAGAGCCGCACCCCCCCACCCCCTTCCGAGGGTCGCTCTGCACGTTCCCTGCTCAACGGGGACCAGGGCGCCGGCCCCAAATGCCTGAGACCTTTTCCACCCAGTCCCGTTGGCAAGACGGAGGGGCCCCCTCCACCCCTCCTCACAGCAACAAACGTCAACTCCACTTCCTGGCCAGGGTAAGTCCTGCACTGGGAACTGCGGAAAGTAAACTGTTCTCTGGGAGTTGATTGTTTCAGGAGGGAGCCCGGGCCTGGGGGGGTGTGCTGTGCTGCCGGTGGGGGCCCCAGACAGCTGTCCAGCCTTCAAAGCTATGACAAGCCGTCCCCCCCTCCGACCCCCCCGGCACCCCACCTCGGTGACCTACATTTTAATATGTGCGATTAGATTATTGCTAATGAGACATCTTAGGGATAAAAGAATTATGCTCGCTGCCCGGGCTGTGGTAAAAGTACAATTGAATTAAGGGCTGAAATCGTTTAGGACTCTGCTAGACAAGCTGGCCCCCGGGCTGGGCCTGAATGGAGATATTAAGCTTTGGAAATTACACAGAGAAAAAAAAAATAAGTCTAATTGATCTCAGGTAACTTCACTCGTCTAAATGAAATAATGTGATTGTCCCAGGCAGAGAGGGCCAGGGTGAGGAGCCGGACGGAAAAGGCTCGCTATCTGCAAACCGAGTTAGAATTCAGAGCCCCAGGTTTTCTGGGAACTACTTTTCTTCAGTTACTTCTTCTGAACTCCTGGTTATTTGCCTCGTTCCTGGTTTTATTTAGCTTGGTCTCCCTCAGATCCTTGGGGTTTTCCTTGTGCTAGCCAGTGAGCCTGCAGTTTAGCAGGGACCCCTGGCCACCCAGCATCTCACCAGGCCCTACCCTCAGGCCCCCCCCACTGCCCGGCCAGCTGTCCGCCAACACTATCCCACCCCCTGGAACCAGCCGCCACCCCTCCTGTGTCCCCCTGTATCAGTGCACAGTTCAGGCTGGTTCTTGAGCGCATGTGCTGCAGGGAACTCAGGGGCCAGAGGAGAGCAATTCTCTCCCCTCCTCGGCCTCAGTGTCCGCATTGGTGGCGCCCTTCCCATGTGCCCCCGATCGGTGTTTCTGATGCCTTAACACCCCCCGTGGTTCACCCGTTTGTTTTCACTGTTACCCTCTTCAGGCTAAAACCCAGCTAGACTATGTAGATACAAGAGACTTTGTCCCTCCATCCTTCCCTTCCCTCCCTTCCTTCCTTCCTTCCTTCCTTCCTTCCTTCCTTCCTTCCTTCCTTCCTTCCTTCCTTCCTCCCTCCTTCCTTCCTTCCCACAGTATTTCCTGAGCAACTATTATGTGTCAGAAGAGTCCTGTGAGCCAGGACTACAGCGGTAAACAAGACAGATGAAATCCCTCTGAGGCCTGGGGTGGGGGGGTGAGCATCTCAGCCCTTGGGGGGGGGCAGGGAGGGGTGACTCGGGCAGAGGGAGCGATGTTTGTGGGAGAGACCGTGAAGGGCTGGGCCGTGGCCTGATTTTCCCGCACCTTCGGGCCTCAGGGAGGAGGATGGTACTGCCTCTCCCCGAAGTGAGCCAGCCTCAGAGGGCTTTACACGGCGGGCAGCGTGACCACAGTGGCATCTCAAGGGTTTGCCCGGCTGAGTGCAGAGTGAGGGCAGGGGTGGAGGGGGCCTGGTCAGGAGGGTCTAGTCACCAGGAGCCACGAGGGGCAGCGGGTTGGGAGGGAGAAGGGTTAGGGCTTTCCTGCCAGGCGGGGAGAGGGGTGGGGTGGGGCAGGATTGGCAGGACAGCAAAGCCTGGCTGTGCCCTGTGGAGAGCAGTGACAGCAGTGGTTCTCAACCTTGGCTGCCCATTTAGAATCACCTGGGAATCTTTTTTTAAAATCCTGATTTCTGGGCCTCCTCCTCCGGAAATTCTGTTTCTTTGCTACGGGGTGGGGCCACAACATGAGTAACAAAGAAACAGAATTTCTGGAGGAGGAGGCCCAGAAATCAGGATTTTAAAAAGATTCCCAGGTGATTCTAATGGGCAGCCAAGGTTGAGAACCACTGGGCTACAGCCTTTGGACAGGTTCAAGCCTGGGACTAATGAGAGGGCAAAGCCACGTGCAAGTCCCAGCCTGGAGGGCAAGGCCCGCCCAGCACAATGACAGCCAATGGCTGTGGCTGTAAGCTTGACCCTGCGGTCCGAACCTGTGGCCACAGATGGCTGAGCGATGTGGGCTGCGGGAGGCGCAGTAAACAAAGCTTGACCCGGTGCACGTCATTGAGTAGATTGGAAACCCGCGAGAACGTGGTAACCACGCCCTTACTTTGCCTCGTGGAATCTGCTATAAAATACAGACACGGCTTGCAGGCCGCGGCGTTCCCTCTAGCTCTGCGTCAGGGAGGACGGCGTCCCGCCCAGACCCAGCTTTCTCCTCTTCTCTGTCTGTTCTCCATCCTTCACCGCCTCCTCTCAGCCTCACCGAACCTGGCTGAGCTGGCATGGCCCCTATGGCACCCAGCGTGGGGCTGAGTAAGCCATGGCCGTGCCAAGCAGCCTGAGGCCGCTTTCTGATTCTGAACAATATAAAGAAATACGGGCGCTGACCAGTTTGGCTCAGTGGATAGAGCGTCGGCCTGCGGACTCAAGGGTCCCAGGTTCGATTCCGGTCAAGGGCATGTACCTGGGTTGCGGGCACATCCCCAGTAGGAGATGTGCAGGAGGCAGCTGATCGATGTTTCTCTCTCATCGATGTTTCTAACTCTCTATCTCTCTCCCTTCCTCTCTGTAAAAAATCAATAAAATATATTAGAAAAAAAAGAAATATGTAAAGAGCAAATGGACCTGCTCTCTCCAGCTCTTTACAGATAGGACCACCCTGGCTCAGAAAACTGCCTGACTTACCCAGCCCTGCTGGGCCACCATCTCGGGGGCAGGGGGGCTCTCTCTGTCTCTCTAAGTCAGGCCAAGGGAGTCACCCTCAAAGACTGCCGGCCCCAGAACCGCCCACCAACGGGCCTGCTCTCTGCATGGGTCTGCACAGGACGGAACACAGATTTTGGTAGTTCTTAGGGACATTCCCCAAGCCTCCCCCGCCAACAAAAAAGGTGACTCTGGGTAGATAGGCCAGGAGAAATCTCTATCCCTCAAAAGCCAATTACAGGGTTAAAGAGACACCTGTGTCAAGGCCCAGAGAAGCTGTATTTAAAGCTAAAGCCAGAGCTCTGACTTATTAGCTCAGGAGAGAAAATGAATGGACTCTCGCACCCCCCCTGCCCCAAAGTCTTCCCTGTTGCACACAGCACAGGATCCCCTGTTGGGGCCTCAGTTTTCCCTTCTGTGTAATGGGCAGACTGATCCCCTGGGTTCATTTCTGTTCTGAGACTCTGTCCTTACTCAGAGGGAGTGGTGAGTGGTGGGCTTATTGGCACTGGACCTGGGCCTGTCTAATTATGTCCTGGACTTGGGGCGGCCACTGACCAGGCAGCCATGAAACGCGAGGGGAGGGCCAGGGGCAGGATGGTCTGGCTGCCACAGAGGACTCACATATCAGCGCCTAATTACATTTCCCCGGCTCCTCCTGTTGTTTCGGTCACCTGGGGTGTTTGCTAAGCCTTCATTACTCTCCAATTGTCTGGTGGTGTGTGTGTTTTCCTCCTTTCCTCTTACCTTCGGACTTTGGCATTAGCTCAGTGACTCAGCCCTTTGATTTCTTATTCATGCCTATCTGCCCCTTCACCTTCCCTTTTCTCAGAAGCCAGGCTTGAACTTGAACCCTCCTGGGCAGCCCCCCTCAAAGACTCCCTGCTACCTTCCCCGCTGAAGGACCGGGGTCCTGGGCTCCCTCCCACTCTCCTTACTTTTCCTGTACTGAGAGCTCCGAGCCCCATTCCGAGCGTCAAGGGAATTCTGAAGCGCCTGCATGTTTCCTAATGAACAGCCGCCCACAAACACAAGACCCCCAATCCAGCAGGGCAATGGAGCGTCATGAGCTGTGGCTGATGAGGCCAATCGCAGAATTTCTAGGGCCGAGGAGACACCCGAGGTCACCCCCAGCGGCCCTTCTCTCCGCCCTCGCACCCCCAAACAGGAGCCATTCAGCACGTGCTTGACTGCCTCCCAGGACGGAGCGCTTACTCCTTCCACAGGCAGCCGGCTGCACGCTCAGGCCCCCCTGATGGTCAGGGAGCCCCCTTTCCTGTAGGTCAGGTGGCCTCCCTCTGCCTTCCACCTGCTGGCCCTGGGTTTAGCCCGGGTGTCCACACAGAAGTTGATTTGCTCCATCTACGCACCAACCCTGACATATGTGAGGCCAGGAATAGCAACAAGACCCTCTCCCACCCCCCACCCCGCCCACACTGTACCCTCACTCTCCTCTGGCCCAGCAGCCAGCCCCGATGCGTAATGTATCTTTTAAAAGACAGATTCCAAAGCAAAAC